CCCCGGAGTGCCCGGCCGAGGTGACCCCCTCCTCATCCCCCTCCTCCTCCTCCTCCTCGCCGTGCCGTTACACGCTCTCCGAGCACCCCCCGGCCGCGCTGGCCGCCATGAACGAGCTCCGCCTGCAGGGCCCCCCCTCCGTGCCTCAGTTTCCCCCGCTCTAACCCTGTTATTTCCTGCCATAGCACCCCCATATTCCATTCCAGGGAGTCCTGTGCCCCTCCGTGCCTCAGTTTCCCCCGCTCTAACCCTGTTATTTCAACCCCCAATCCCATTCCTGACCCCCTCCCCACCCTCCGTGCCTCAGTTTCCCCGCTCTAACCCCGTTTTTCTCCCCCCACAGCCTCTCCACCGCAGCCTCCCCACCATGGCCGCATCCCCCCCGCCCCCGGAGTGCCCGGCCGAGGTGACCCCCTCCTCATCCCCCTCCTCCTCCTCCTCCTCGCCGTGCCGTTACACGCTCTCCGAGCACCCCCCGGCCGCGCTGGCCGCCATGAACGAGCTCCGCCTGCAAGGGCAGCTGTGCGATGTCACCCTGCGCGTCCGGCACCGCCGGGACCTGCCGCCCACCGAGCTGCGGGCGCACCGGGTGGTGCTGGCGGCCGCCAGCCCGGTGTTCCGGGCCATGTTCACGGGCGGGCTGCGCGAACGGGGCCTGGCCGAGGTGCCCATCGAGGGCGTGCAGCCGCGGGCCATGGAGCGCCTGGTGGAGTTCGCCTACACGGCGGCCGTGGCCGTGGGGGAGCGCTGCGTGCTGCCGCTGCTGCACGGGGCGCTGATGTACCAGGTGGGGAGGGGGCTGGGGGGGTTCTTTGGGGTGTTTTGGGGAGGGGGCTCTGGGGGGTTTGGGGGGGTTACTCCTTGGGGGTTTGTGGTTTGCGGTGGTTCGGGGTTGGGGGTCTGGTTTTGGTCAGGTGGGTTAGGGCTGATTGTTTGCCTCCTGTCTGAGTGGGATCATCCCCAAATTCCTGCCCTGGCTCCCTGCCAATCACTGTCAATCTGTCAATCACTGTCAATCACTGTCGGTCCCTGTCAATCACTGCCAATCTCTGTCAATCACTCAGCATCTCATCATTTCTATCTAGAACTTTTTGTATCATCTAGAACTCTCTCTACTCCTTCTCCTGTGCTGGGATCATCCCCAAATCCCCATCCTGGCTGTCTGTCAATCACTGTCAGTCCCTGTCAATCACTGTCAATCTGTCAATCCCTGTCAATCACTGTCAATCACTCAGCATCCCATCCTCTCCATCCAGATCCTTTTGTTCCCCTCCCTCTCCTGTGCCGAGCTCATCCCCAAATCCCTTTCTCCCCCCAAATCCCGTTCCCGTCCCCCTCCCCACCCTCCGTGCCTCAGTTTCCCCGCTCTAACCCCAGAGAGCCGGGATTCGGGGGATTTGGGGGATTCGGGGGGGGGAAACTGAGGCACAGGGGGGGCAGGGCTCCCTGGGGTGGGATTTGGTGGGTGGTCCCTCACCCACCCAGTACCCCCGTGGTCTCTTATGGGTTAATTATCCTTGCCACTGCATAATTCACAGAGTGATTGATAAACTCCACAATTGACAGAATTATTGATGAACTCCCCAATTGACAGAATTATTGATAAGCTCCACAATTCACAGAGTGATTGATAAACTCCCCAATTGACAGAATTATTGATAAACTCCACAATTCACAGAATGATTGATGAACTCCACAATTGACAGAATTATTGATAAACTCTACAATTCAGAGAATTATTGATGAACTCCCCAATTGACAGAATTATTGATACACTCCATAATTGACAGAATTATTGATGAACTCCATAACTGACAGAATGATTGATGAACTCCATAACTGACAGAATTATTATAAACTCCCCAATTCACAGAATTATTGATAAGCTCCACCATTCACAGAATTATTGATAAACTCCACAATTCACAGAATGATTGATAAGCTCCACAAATCACAGAATGATTGATAAGCTCCACCATTCACAGAATTATTGATAAACTCCACAATTCACAGAGTGATTGATAAACTCCACAATTGACAGAATTATTGATAAACTCCATAACTGACAGAATGATTGATAAACTCCCCAATTCACTGAATTATTGATAAACTCCCCAATTCACAGAATGATTGATAAGCTCCCCAATCCCCAGAATTTTTGATCAGCTCCCCCATCCCCAGAATTTTTGATCAGCTCCCCCATCCCCAGAATGATTGATCAGCTCCCCCTCCCCAGGTGGACGCCGTGGTGGGGGCCTGCTGCGCTTTCCTGGGGGGGCAGCTGCACCCCAGCAACGCCATCGGCATCGCCGCGCTGGCCGAGCGCCTGGGCTGCCTGGAGCTGCTGCAGAGGGCCCGGGAGTACATCTACATGAACTTTGCTGAGGTAAGGGGGGGATTTGGGGGGAGTTTGGGGGGTTTCAG